AACTTCATAGCTCAATTTTAACGCCACTTACGGAATTTGCCTGTTTTCAACTTGGCAACGCTGTAGCGCGCGGGAAAAATTTCGGGTGAACTTGCCAACGCTGGAAAAAGGCGTATCTTGTGATAGGGAACAACATATCCAACTCCCGGCAAAATCCAAGAGGGGGGTAAAATCGCCGATTTTGTATAACCCTCTTTATTTGGGGAAACCCCTGGAAGTTTCTGCATCCCTGTTTTTTACTACTGAAAGTTGCCCAGGTATATAGTCCAGTAAACGAAGGCATATAGGATACGTCTCCGGCCGAAAACGAACATACAGCTGGATTTAGGCCCAATCGATTCTTCATATGAAAAGGCGTTTTTAGCCAAAAGTCCCCTTGGGGGATTCCACACAGTGTTCCGATGAAGTTGAAAATTGGACATATTTTCAAAAATTCACTGCAAAGCGAGAAATAAACTTGGAGAGCTCAATTTTTTTTCAAACTGTCGGCAATTGAGTCTACTTTTCGAAGAAACTATAGTTTTAAATGTCAAAGTAATTTAAAGGTGAGTACAGTTGAAAGAAATTGAAAATTGAGAATGATTGACCGGTATTTTCCGTATTTACGTCCTTATGAAGACCCGGATCGAAAAACATCCTCCAGTAAAAAATGTAGATCGTTCTTTTAGCGTTGATTTAGTATATTACATCATAGGTTTATCTTTAAAATTGAGGGAGCAAAAGCGCAGAAACGGAGCGGGACGAGTGTATACTTTCATCTGGTTGTTCATTGAAGCGTGCTAATTAAATGTTGGATAAAAATAACCTAGGTATTGTCCTCCATATGCCCTAGAAAAGCTGGTTACACAATTGGGACCGCTAATTCCACGATTTTTTGGATTTCTTCAATTGACTTTGCAAACATGCAGAGGATCTGCTACCGGTTTTTGGGGAAACATTTTCATAATAAATCAAGTGCCATTTTTGGTTTCCTAGATGCCCAGTTTCTTGTTCCATGTGTATAGCATATAGTTCAGCTGAATCGCTCGATAGGGCTTAGGTCTCTCCATTTTTACTTTCTACTAATTTTCAACCCGGCTTGGTAAGCATGAAAAAATGACAGTTTTTTTATTTCTAAAAAGACTATTTAAAAGACATTAAGAGGCTGTGGTGAGTATATTAATGGGCAGGTTGGTACTAATACCAAGGTCGCAAACGCGATTTTTATCGACTTTGCAGTGATTTTCATCAAATATTTTTAATAATTTGGTAACTAAACGAAAATTGGGCCTTCAATTTTCAAAGAATTTTCAATGTTGAAAAAGCAGCTTTTAAAATTATCTGGCAGTGGTCGCGCGTTTGGTACCATCTAAGAGGCAACAGAAAGGTTAATAAACACATCAGCGAATTTTTAGCGATTTTCTCTTACCTCTTGCTATTGCCTCTGAAGTGGTACAGGACGATTATCACCATTTTAATCTTCTATAATATGGTCTCTAAAAATTGGAGGCTCAATTTTTCAGCGCCCCCCCAAAAGAAAAGAAATGTGCGAAATTTTCTTTTAAAAAAAAATCGATAAGAACTAAATCTTTTGACACTGCTTGGCTCTCCTCAGAGCTACGAAAATATCCCTAGATGAAATATTTCTTGCATCCTCCTTATCTATCATGAAAAGAGTCTAAAATTTTAAGTCCCAGTTTTCACATGCTTGCCAATTCACTAGGAAAAACGGATAAAAAATGGAAAATTGTGTTATGACCTGTGCTACTTGTCCGTCAGATGGACAAAACCACTGTCTTCATCTTTATGGCCCGTTCCGTCGCGCATTTTTTTTGAGGCAGATTCTAAGCATCGACAACGCAAGAAAAATGCATCATCGCCTTTATGTCCATGTCATTTGCGTAATCAATCGGTTAGCAATACAACCAACATAAAAACGATTCTCGTCACCATTAGCTTCCCACTTTTCCAAAATAAACCCATCCTACGGTCAAAGCAGGTATACGATACACTGAATCAACACGCAAAAACGAACTATTAAAACTTTTGGTAAATAGTATTGTTTATGGTAGGTACTTTCTATGCTTTTTGGGACGAACTAGGAAACCGTTTAAGTATCACGTAAGTTTCTCCAGAGGGGAAGGGTAAGGTCTAAGTTTGGCTCACGAGGTCAAATTAGTAGAGAGTAAAAATGAAGAGACTTAAGCCCTATCGAGCGATTCAGCTGAACTATATGCTTTACACACGGAACAAGAAACTGGGCATCTAGGAAACCAAAAATGACACTTGATTTATTGAAAATGTTTCCCCAAAAACCGGTAGCAGATCCTCTGCATGTTTGCAAAGTCAATTGAAGAAATCTAAAAAATCGTGGAATTAGCGGTCCCAATCGTGTAACCAGCTTTTCTAGGGCATATGGAGGACAATACCTGGGTTATTTTTATCCAACATTTAATTAGCACGCTTCAATGAACAACCAGATGAAAGTATCAACTCCAGGAATGGGGACTAAAGGCGATTTTTATTATGTATAAAAAGTTTGAATGATTCTACAGCAATGGCGTAAATGAAGGGCCGCACTGAGAGCGAGCCCAAGGCTCTAAAGGGTCCAGTCACTTCATGAAATTTTGAAATGGAATCCCCTCATCAAGCCTTGCGCGGTATTGAGGTGGGCCCAGAGATGAAGTCTGCGAGTGACTAGGTAAGTCGCTTGGTGAGTTAAGTAACTCTTTACAGAAAAGGCATGAATTTAAAAAAAAAAAAAGTCACTTTGTAGACAACTGAAGAGTGCAAGCCTGAAACATTACCCTACAATAAAAACCTTGCGTAAGCTACTCAAAAAGGGGGGGGGAGGGGTTAGGTCTAAGTGTGGCTCACGGGGTCTTACGAATGAGGAGGAGAGTCAAGTCAAGTTTTACGTGAGCCTCCCACTTTAAGAAAAAATAATAATTTTGAATAGAAAAAAAAGTCGCCAGTTTCCACACTTTCTCTGTCACTTTCGGGAAAATTGGGGGGGAGGGGGATCAGGGCAGTTACTTGATTCCAAAGAGGATTGAAAAGTAGTTGCACTGCTGCTTTACGAGGAGTGGAGTTTTAAAATGTAGTCCAAAAAGCCGTAAGTATCACTTGAATCGCTACCAGAACAAATTAGTGAACAGTTAAATAATAAAGCGAAAACTGGCAACTATGGCGCTTAAGGAAAGAGCCTTTATAATGGAAATGATTGATTTTGGTCGTAAGTAGACGAGCAGAGGTGAATTAACCATCACTGCCATCATTCGCCACCTAAAATCGCCACTTTACGATTCAAAACATAGGCGGCCGCGCGCCGTCCCGCTCCGTTTCTGCGCTTTTGCTCCCTCAATTTTAAAGATAAACCTATGATGTAATATACTAAATCAACGCTAAAATAACGATCTACAACTTTTACTGGAGGATGTTTTTCGATCCGGGTCTTCATAAGGACGTAAATACGGAAAATACCGGTCAATCATTCTCAATTTTCAATTTCTTTCAACTGTACTCACCTTTAAATTACTTTGACATTTAAAACTATAGTTTCTTCGAAAAGTAGACTCAATTACCGACAGTTTGAAAAAAAATTGAGCTCTCCAAGTTTATTTCTCGTTTTGCAGTGAATTTTTGAAAATATGTCCAATTTTCAACTTCATCGGAACACTGTGTGGAATCCCCCAAGGGGACTTTTGGCTAAAAACGCCTTTTCATATGAAGAATCGATTGGGCCTAAATCCAGCCGTATGTTCGTTTTTGGCCATCAAAATACTTCGTTTCCTGGACTAATAGGGATTATCAAGGATAATTGCAAAGCCATCAGACAAATTTTTTGTCATTTATGCCGACTTTGAAAGCTACTTTCAACGAGTCAAAGGTAATGGGTCTGTTGCAAGCAAGAGATACAGCCAGCTGAATACAATAACATGTGGTAAATTCGCTCGAAAATCACATTAGACACATCAAAAAAGTCTGAATTCCACTCCTTAACGCGCAATCTTTGTAGTTTGTAACACGCTTTTTCAAGTTTATCGCGTCTGCGGGCAGTTTTTCCTTGGTGCTCAGCAGTCAAGTTTGCCCGGAGAGAGATCTAACCTAAAAAAACAAAAAATCTTGGAGACTTTTATAAGTTCTCCTTGCGGAAAATTTCAATTGATTCAAATTATTTGTTTTTCCAAAATAAAAAAGAAAAAGGAAACAAACGCTTTAAAACAAATGAAATCGTACAATGGAAAAAGTTAGTTAATCATTTGTTTACTTTGGGTGGTTCTTTCTTACTCCTATGCCTGTGCAAACCTGGTCCGGGGTGCCTGTGAGAAAAACTGCCCGGAAACGCGGGAAACTTGAAAAAGCGTGTTACAAACTACACAAATTACTCGCTTCGGAATGAATTTCAGACTTTCTTGATGTGCCCAACGTGATTTTCAAGTGAATTTATACTGGAAAAGTGTATTCAGTTGGCTGTATCTCTTGCCTGCAACAATCCCATTTTACACATCGAGCAACTACTTGTGAGACATTTTATCACACTCTCTGTTTTTTGTCCTTTAACTTTAGATTGCTGCTATAGGCTCAATATTTGAAATTTTTAGATGTTCTTCAAGCCAATTAATGATGCAGAATCTTTCTTTCAGGGACGTGGTATTATTAGATCATCTCCCCCTCCTTCCACCTTACAACACATTCAGCCATGGCACATGATAAGCTTCCAAGCGGTACTATTTCACTAAGATTCGTTATTTACATTCCAGAGAGCCCAAAACGTAATTGGTGGTGATAAATGAAAGGAACTGTTTTTATGTAAAACACAGCCCGCACACATAAATTTGCTGTTATAAGTGCTATCCCCTGCAATGCGTCACTCCGCTACTAAGAAGTCATTGAAAAGTATGCAAGACTGCGGGACACTAATTGGCACATGCATAATAAGGGATGACTCTTCCAACAAGATGTGGAAATTATTTTTATAACACTATCTTGCATTCCAATTTGATTGGTATCACGCTTACTTGAGCAGATTCTTGAGCTAAATCTAGCCAGACGTCCATGTTCCGTTTTTCTTCTGACTGCAGTTCCAACTTTTCAAACAAACATTCTCGTGCCTGAGCCTGAGGAAGCAAAAAATTCAAGTTACGTGTGGCTTGGCTAATCTAATTGGACGTATTCATGCTGAACGGAGCTTTGTGCATAGGGTTCATTTAGATGCATCAAAAAAAATAAAAGTTTGAATTGTTCCACTCCCTAGGCGGCAATCGATGCTACTTGGTAAAAAAAATTTTTTGCCAAAATTTGGGCTAATTTCAACGATTTTAAATGGCTCCAAAGGTCAATTTAGTGATGAAGTTCTCATTTTTAAGTTAAGACCTTGATGTCGTACAAAAAACTCGATTTTATGCTGAAGTTATGTTTTTACGAGAAAAACGCAAAAGAACTTAAGTTGTAGAGGATTGAATTTCACTCTAGAATAACAGCTTTGTAAACAATAAAAATCAAATTAAACTAGAAAAACTCACATCGATACTTATTTTTTTGGTGCGTAGGATTTCTGAGCTCTCTTAATGTGCAGGTATAAGTGACTGATTTTTCATGAAAATAAGTTGAAAAAGGGTCAAAATGAACTGTAGACAAGTGCTGAGGATACAAATGTCATCAGAACTTCCTCAGTTTGAAAGGAAGATCCCCTTTTTCTGCACAATCCTCCAAAAAGAGCACGGCTTGAAAAGCAGGGTCATGCAATAGTAAGGGAGAAGTAGGATCAGTAGGTTGTCCTGAACGACATCGTAAGAGTTTAACATGGTCCGACTCAGGAACACCCCTCAAAGTACCTAAGATTCAAAATGGTGACCATAACAAGGGGGTCCGGGAAATCGATATTTTAAACGTTCATTCGGTGTCATGTGAAGTATCATTTCCTATGTAATTTTGGTCGTAGATTTCATATTTGAACTCAAAGAGTCCCCCTGGTCAAAATGAGCAGCCCAAATCAAAGATGGCGGCCAAGTGGGAAAGGCAGGAGGTTGCAATTTGTTTTAAACATTCACGTAAGTAACGAGGCAAATGAGGTGTCTCCATTCCAATGTTTTAGTCGAAAACTTTACACATGAAGGCATTAAAGCATCCCCCCCCCCCCCCNCATCAAGAAGAGTGTCCAAAATCCAAGATTAAGATTATGAGATGTTCAAGAGTGAGAAAATGATATAGGAAAACAGGATGAATCATGTGCAGGGATTGCTACAGAACAGCGAAGACACATGAGAATTGGAAGAGAGTATGTGTTAACACATTGACCGATAAAAGTGCGAAACACATGTCTGAGCTTAAAGAGGTGTGTGAAAAAACGGCCAAAAATGCCTCAAGGCATTTTCGAATTTTGATCACTTGGGGTGATACAGTAGCTTCCTAGACGCCCAAAACCGGTCGCCGTTTTGCTTAGAAGCGCCGGGTTGCGACGTTGCCATTTTTTAAAGTGGAAACCTTTAAAAATCCATATCTCCGCCGCATCTCAACCGATTTCAATGAACTTTTTTAAAAAATGTTCCTCTTAAATAGAGCTTTCTAGTGGTATATAGTTTTCTGGGGTTTACTTGGCTTTAAGTGGCACTTACGCGGTTTTAGCACTTCTTGATAGACACAAAAATGTAGTTTTTATTTTACCACGATCGTGGAATCAACGGAATCTAAACAAAAACCAGTCTAAATGAAAGTTCAGATTCTCACCTTTCTAACGAGCACAAGATCATCCCGGGGAAACGTTTAGTTTCCGAGATATGACCGCTCAAAGTTGGTCACATGCGCTTTTGTGCAATGTGAATGCGCCTTATCACTAAGTCATTCGCGAATTGGGGGTCCCTTATGTTCAATTTACGTTGAAAAAATTACACAGAGCAGTAAGGTGTACAACACGAGCCGTATTTTCACCTTCGGCTGCTGATGTGCGACGTTGCCATTTTTTCAAGTGAAAACTCTTAAAAATGCATAACTCCGCTGCATTTCAACCGATTTCAATGAACTTTTTTTTAAAATGTTCCTCTTAAATAGAGCTCTCTAACGGTATTTAGGTCTCTAGATTTTATTGACTTCAGGGCGGCACTTAGGTCGTTTATATGGTTCTTTGCAGAGATTTTTCATATAGAAAATAGTGTTGCTATTTTTTATTTTTTTTCCTATATATATATAAATAAAAAATAGCAACACTATTTTCTATATGAAAAATCTCTGCAAAGAACCATATAAACGACCTAAGTGCCGCCCTGAAGTCAATAAAATCCAGAGACCTAAATACCGTTAGAGAG